TCCCTTCCCCCTACGCTAGACTGGCTCCACCACACTCTGCTGTCAAAACCAACCTTCTCATATTGACCCCCCGCCTTTTTTCCACGACTCGCTTGTACGAAAAGACGAACACGTTTTAAATTGTACCCCATCCCCATAGAGACGTTCTGGCTTAACGAGAATCTATCGAAAACCTGCGTACGCTCGCCAACTACTCTTCTGAACAGGTACAAGAGACCTTATTGGTCAGGCATAGCGAATATGTTATAAAGACAAGAGTGCATCAGGGGGTTAAGGTGCCAAACACTGCAAAAAATCCTAATAATACACGTAATATCTGTGCTGTTATCACTGACGTTTATTGTGCTTGAGACTATACCTTTTTTAGTAAAAGGGCCATTGTTCCGACAACCAGCCTCTTTAGCCATTGTTCGCCTTGTTCTTTTTTTTATTTCAAGTGCTCACTATGACTAATGCATACCATACTGTCTACGATAGCACGGAGAAGGAAATTTCAGACGCATCGCTGAAATCGTACTGAGCTTATAATCACAACAGCATCCTTCTTATGCATCAGCCATGAACTAATTAACACTCCGAGGAGAGCGCGTATGCCACTTGCCCAGCAGTATCCCTAGAGTCGAATGAAAATTTTTAAGGTCAGACACGTAGCTGGAAAGTTCATCCGAAAATACATATAAGCTATACATGCAGTTACCCTATCACCAGGACATTTCTCTTGGCCAATGACTTTTGAATTCGAAATAAATCGCGCAAGTACATACCTTTCACTCCCACGGCTCGCTTGGGACGGCGTGTTCAGAATCAACTAGTAGCCTCTCCATTAGCGATTGTAAGGCAAACATTACATTACTTCCGATAGATTTCGTGTGATGTTTCGCTTCGTTGCGGGGTCAGTCTGGTCGCTGATTTGTCGTAGCACTGGAAGTCCAGAGTCATTGGCAATGGCCTCGAACACATTACCAACATAAAGAGACATTCACCAGATATTCAATTCCCGAGAAAATGCCATGAGCGGATTGACCAGGGTGCTACACATTCGGGGTGAGAGCAGTACAAAAACCGCTTCGGAATGGGTTGGCTGAATGAGCTCAAAACTAGTAAACCATGCGCGACGCAGCGGGTATATAACTGTCGTCAAATGACCAGAAAAAGGCATGAGTGCACGTGTGGTGTCATTCAGTACGACTGATGTTCGGCTCGTTAAAATAATGATAACAATGAAATCATGCTCCAGCCAGATGGATCGTCCATTCTCATGATTCATAGGCCGCAGAAAATACTACACGAGGTGAAACGTAATGCACTACGGAAGCCCCAGGCCGAAATAAAATTCATTATCACGCTCACGGACATGGGGTAATCCACTATTGAAGTTTACAGAACAGACTGCTTTCAGAAAACGAAAATCTTACTGGGGATTGTCGTTTCTGTGCAAAGTAGAACTCAGCTCCATAAAGACTCGGGCACGCGAAAGTAATGAGACCTTTTGACAATGAGGAATTAAAATGCAATAAGGTCGGCCGGCAGACGCATCTCCAGAGTCCAACAAACGGCCTTTGCCCGCTTCCATGACCTTCTAACGTTATGTAGAGTGAGCCTTCCCCTCCGGTTCTCCGACATCTCAAAGTTCTGGCCCCTGATTCAGACACCGCGGTCCGAAAGTCGATAAAATGCCTGGAGAAACTTAAAAGAACACGTCTGCCGTCAGACACGGTCATCATGTCTTTGGATACCAGGTCCAGAGTTCTGCTCCCTAGAGTCAGGACGGACCAAAAAACTCCATAAAGAAAATGCAATAAAACAGAGTCTTGCCCTCTATGTACATAGATACTCAACTTCTTCCGCGAAGTAGTTCACGTTCTATGTCAGGTTAAAAGCGTACCGAATGTACTCTTTTAAGAGTAGCTATTGTGATTTCGAAGATATAAGTTCATTCAGTCAAACACACGTTTTCAATTAAAGATATTTACAGGAGGTGAAAAATGTACAGTATGACGAGTGCTGCAGGAAACATGCCGCAACTGGCAAAAAAACCTTTAATTACTCGCAAAACAACATTAAGTAGGGTTGCAATACTGATTGTCGCACGGTCTTTTATCAATTCCTTTCAGTCACATCAGGATGCCGGGCTTTTTAATGGATTTCTTTCTGCCCGCCCATAGAATGCAGATTCTGAAAAAAATGGCTACCTAATTAGTATGCATTTTTATCATTGATATTGACTGCCTGGGTAAATTCAAATGTATTTTACAGAAAACATATACAAAAGTATTTATCTTGTACTCCTTTGGTAGAAAAATTACGCCTTCTTTAAATTTTATACATAAAGAAGGGGTATCCTACGGTTTTAAAAAAGCTTATAAATTGCTGAATACTTTTGAAGGTTACCGACAGCTATACCTGAATTCAAGGTTTCCAACCAGCATGCCGTGTACATTCTGTTCAAGGAAAAAACGTTTTTGGCTAAGGTTTGAGGAAGAGGTCGCATAGGTTTCATAAATTTTGTAACAGATGTGGATCATGCTGTATAAATTAAAGGCAGCGTTACTAAATCGACGGATACAATGTATTATTAATGAACACATCACAGTCGTAAAACAGCTCATAAGTAAAATTTTTCTCTAAAACCAAGGTATACCTCTTCCTTAAGTATGAACTTCAGAGAAGGTTTAATTTACTACCAAAGAATACAAGAAAAAATATTTTCGTCATGTTTTCTATAAAATATATTTTAACTTATAAAGGCAGCAAAATCCATGATAAAAATGCATACCATATAAGTAACTATTTTTACAGAATATACTTTTTAATTGGTTAGAAAGAAAGAGCCACCATTCCAACGTGACTGAAAAGACTTGAGATTAGACTGTGCGCTAATCCGTATTGCAAACCTTAATTAATGCTGTGATTACCAGTCTTTCGCAAATTGCGGCATTTTTCCTGCAGAATTCGCCCTATTGTAAGGTTTAGCGATCAGCTATCGTAACAGGGTTATTACGCCTAGCAAGATCAAACTCTTGTAGGCTCATAACAAAAGGCGTCCTCGCGAAATATTGGCTTACACATTTGGGTATCATTTTGTAAAGGTACATATACGTCGAGCTTACGTCAAAGTACAACCAGAAGCCGAAGACAGAGTGCGCAATGATATAGAGGACAACGAAAGAGATGAAGACGTCCTGTTCCAAGCGTTTCATCATTTCGAGCCTCTCGCGCTTGAGCGTGTCTTCAAACTCCGGGCTGCGTTCTAGCTGGTCCTGAGCATCCATGTAGGCCTTGAGCAGTCTCAGAAAGTGCATAGAAACCACTTCGTCAGTGACGGTAAAGTCTCCAATCTCTACTCCCCTTGTGAACTTAGAGAGCGATGGGTCGAGCCTCTCGAAGGGGTTCCTTGGTTCAGGCTCCAAAAGCGAGTCATCTATTACAGAAGAAGCTGGATCTTCAATCGGAAACTTCGAACCTTAAAGATAAATCAGTTAGAAGAAAGTTAAATCACACCATATTCAAGTATTAAACTGGCATCTGCTTAATGAGTTCGAAAGCACAAATTTAAGATAGGAACCTGCCCCCAGAGGTATGAGGAGCGATGCCTGCAAGGGTATATGCATTCGGAAAAAGGAGTTTCATGTCAAATTCAAAATAAACACGTAATATTTTGGATAAGTCAAGGTTTCATCCGTTTAAATTTGCTTAAAGGAGTGAACTATTGGAGATAAAAGCGTTTGCGGAATATCTATCAAAACTCTTAGCGAAAGCATTGAAGTTGGTCCTTAAGGAAATAGCTAGTCGACGAAATAGCTTCTTCTTTTCGATTTGAGTCTGTTCGCGAGCAGAAATTTGGCCCGGAAGTAGTCTGAGAGAAAGCAATAAATAGGAGTATTGTAACATCCCTAATAACTTTGTCACGGAGTAACAGGGAAGAGAAATAACACAAACACAAATTCCATCTACGACGTTCATCCCTTAATAGCCATCTGCCGGAAGTAATAATCGTACATATGATGAAAACTTACTGAGTCATGTTATGCACCTAAAATTTTTTGAAGTGATTAAGTTCGGTCCGCGGCGTGGAGGAGAAGTGATTAGATAGTATATACGGCCGGATAGTAGGGGACAATATGTTAAAGTCTATCTAGAATTTATACATTTCATGAAAATGCACAGGGCCACAGTTAGTTTCTCTTCCACACAAAAAAGAATCATAAAATAATTCACTCTTAACTAAAATGCATCTGTAAACGGCGTAAAATAATATATACTTATCCTCTAAATGCTGCTCTACTTACTAATTGTCGATTAAAGATGATCCAAATAAATTAATCTTACTTCCACAGGAATATCCAGTGTAGTCTGAGAGAAAGCAATGAATAGGAGTAATGTAACATCCCTAATAACCTTGTCACGGAGTAACAGGGAAGGGAGAAAACACAAATAACATTCGGATCAGTAACACAGAGTTCCGTTCTCATTCTTCAACATTTGCTTGGAATAGGCCTTAAGAGGATGCTTAAAATTTTCAATATGGGCAACCAGCGAGTCGTCCTTTTAACTGGCAATGATTTTGAATTTTTTGTTGTATGTTATTTGGTTGATTTTGTTGCTTCCTCACGAAGTTAGCTACTACATTCGGATTGTAATGTACATCTATTGCCTCACGATTTGCGAAATACTCTCCCAGACGGTCTTAAAACTAGGGCTCAAACAATCTTCGAAAACTTTAAGCAACAATTGGTATGACTGAATCATGCACCGATTTTGCTACAGCATAATCAGTATTATAATTTGCCTCAAAATAATATTTTTTAAAATTGAAAACACATTTTGGAATTTCGGTTACCATTTCATGAGGTAGCACAT